TTCCCCCTTAAAAACCAATTCCCCCACGCAACCTCCATACTGTATGCGTATCTTGGGCGGTTGCATATCCTAGAAGATCGCAGAACAGTATCTTCAAGGATCGCGGATCTCTCAGGATCGCGTGGATAAGTAATTCCCGACCAAGCTGATTTGATGGCAACAATGAGGTCCGGGACGGTAGTAAACTGGCGGCCGTTGGCGTAAACTTGACGCGCAAGGATTCACCACAGATTTTCTATCGGGTTTAAATCGGGAGAAAGTACAGGGTGATCGAAAAGAGTAACATTTTCGTTATTCAAAAATGCCAATGAATACTTCGACTTATGCATAGATGCTCCATCTTGGATACTTCCTCCGTTTCGAAATACTGTTGTGGGTTCACTTCAGTTTCCTTTTCTCAGACAAAACTCGTCGCCAGAAGCCTTAAGTAGGCTCAAATTGATGCCAAAAACTTCACCACTTCGAAACGATTTTTAGATTATGTTTATTCGCTGTAGAACTCGAGAACGACGACATTCAAAGTTTATAAAATACGAAGTCAAACTTTAAACCGCTGCCAATCAGTCAATTCTTATCCAATCAGCCTCATTCTTCACGCAAACGACTCGTCTTGATTCGTAGATATTCTTAGCACACCTCAAAAGCGATTTACACAACACTCATGTCTAGCCGTGTCACGACCGGTCGTGAGCTCGCCGTCGGCGAGCGAAAATGATTGTACAACGCTCTTCGCGAACTCAAGGCCAACGGTGCAGTGCCGCGCGGCTCCATGAAGGCTCTGTGTGCCGAGTACGACGTGACCCAGCAAGCGGTGTCGGTCATCTGGCGGCGTGGCCAGGCCGCCGGGAAGGCAAGTTGTTCATTCATCATATCATGGTGTTGTTGGTTGTAACATTAGACTTTTGAATAAAAATACGATGTTATCGGCAAGTCAGCATACAATTTTCAAGTGTAAATTTCCCACTTCACCATCCCACAACAGTATTTTGAATCGGAGAAAGTAAAAACAACATCTTCGCCATAAAATTCATGAGCAAAAGGAAAAAGATAATTTCCCAACGTATCACAATATGATTCAGAGTTTTGATTCCCAGAAAGAATGCCAATTTAGACAAACCAAAAGAAGAAAACGCTCCCCAAACCTTCACCCCACCTCCACCATTTCGACGCGTAAAAAACGTGTCTGGTTCC